CTCCTGCGCCTCTCTCCTGTGAACTTGCCGGCCAGTGCCAGCCTTGGGAACTTCAATGCCGCGTAGAGAATGATCTCATTTGTCACGGGAAAGAGGGAGTTGTAGTGGTCTCCTTTGCTTTTCGTTATTTTCGTTGTTGTATTACATTTGCTATAATTTGCTATATTTGCTATGTCTATTCTGCTGCGACTTATGTTTTAATGATCATTGGTGTTGGCATTATATTAATCTTTATCTTGATAGGCGGCATTGAAGTACTAATTATTATTAGTATCGTGTTCTGTATTGCGATTATAGTGCTGAAATGCTTAATTAAATATCCCATTGTTGTTGCAGTCCCTAATTACCTCCTGAATGTCGAATGCATTTTTGAAGGCACTCACAAGTACAAAATAAGGACGTCACTTAACAAGCACGGACGTCACGCCAAGTGTCGGTAGATGTTCCGGTCAGTGAATGTTCCCCTGTGATGAGCTTACGCCTTCTGCTTCCTGATACGGAGGGGGGGGGGAGAGGGTGGAGGGTATCGAAGGGAGGGGGGGAGGGGGAAGGAGGAGGAAGTTTACGAGGGTGAAATGGTACGCGGAAAAGGGACTGAATGAAGTACAAAAGGGTGGAGGGGTTTTAAAAGGGGTGGAGGAATTACAATAGGGTGGAAGGAGGGAGGAGTGTAAGGGAGTTTGGGTAGGATAGACTGGAAGGAATGCGGAGGGAGGAGAATAGGGTGAGGAGAGAGAAAGGGAGAAAGAAGGGGGAGGGTTTTAGAGAGGAGAGAGAAAGGGGGGGGGGGAGAGGACTGGAAGGGTGCAGGGAAGGTGGATGGTAATGGAAGGTGGAAGGAACTTGATGTAGTAGGTGGAAAGGAGTAGAAGGAGGATGGAAGAATGAAGAAAGATATTGGAAATGTAAAGGAAAAAATTAAATGGAGTAAATGATCGTGGAATACTTAGAATACTTAGAAAGGTAAAATATATTAAAATTGATAAGAGCGGAAAGGTTTAGAATAAGATAAAGCAAATTGAATTTTTAAAGCAGAATCGAAGGAGGAAAATTAAATGCAAGAACTGCAAGAATAGTAGTATAGGGAAGAGAGAGAGAGAGAGAGAGAGAGAGAGAGAGAGAGAGAGAGAGAGAGAGAGAGAGAGAGAGAGAGAGAGAGAGAACACAAATAACAAGACGAAGCACCACGCCAAGAACAGTAAGTACAATTAAACGGTTTACCAGAACCCCCAAAAAAGAGGGAAGAGAGAGAGAGAGAGAGAAGAACCAAAAGAGCCAATGAAAATATAGGAAGATGAAAGAAGAGAAAGAGAGAGAGAGAGGAAAAAGAACGAAAAAGGGTCGTTCGGCTCCACTAACTTCTTTTCCCAGCCGACCGACCGTAGATCAAGGCTCGGCGGACTTGTGTGTGAAGATCCGAATGACTAACAGGGTTAAGTGAGTCAAGAAGACGTGATCGCTTTTGTTTTGTTTTGTTTTATTGTTTAAAACATTTTGGCGTGCTTTTTATTAGCTGTTTTAGAGGCCTAGGATACAGGTTATATATATATATATATATATATATATATATATATATATATATATATATATATATATATATTTTTTTTTTTTTTTTTTTTTTTTTTTTTTTTTTTTTTTCTCGTGTTACCTGATTGTGTGTGTGTGTGTGTGTGTGTGTGTGTGTGTGTGTGTGTGTGTGTGCTCGCGTGTACATGTGCGTGTTCTGTTTTGTATTTTCTTGTTTTTTCTTGTGCTGTTTTGTGCTATATATGCTATCCTCTAAGCATGTTTTTGCTTGTTTTCATTTTGCGTCATATTTCAAGGAGAATGAGGTAGCAGCAAAAAGATAAACAAAACTATTTTCTGCTTAATGTTTTTATTTAATTATACAGTTTTCTTTTTTTTTTCTTCTTTTTGCAAGACATGATTCATAGTGTGATTAGGGTGAACTGGTAGTCAAGGAATACTGCAATTTTCATGATTGTGTATTATTTTCTCCACATGTTTTGCTTTTTTATTGTTATTTCTTTTGTTATTATCGTCATCGTTATCATCGTCATCGTCGTTATTTTATTTTATTATTTTTTATCATTACTTTTTTTTATTTTACCTTTATTTCTTATTCATATTTCACTAGGTCGAATGAATTGACAATCAGAGTACTTCCATCTATATATTTTTTTATCTATATATTTTTACGTTATCGTCGACTCCATGTTATTTTTCATCTTAGAAATATCTCGCCTCAACCTCCCCGAAAGCAGAAAATCGCCGTTAGATTGATCATCAATCTCAACCACGCGCTCTTGCAGCAACTCCTCTCACGTCTTCGCTGTTATTAACTTAGCGCTCCGCAGACACGAACTGCCGGCTGACTACGTGGTAATTGTCCTTCTTGGCCAATTAGCAAGCGGGATGGGACGGACCGTAAGGCGTACACAGGCTGCGGTGATGCTTATGGGAGGGTACGTTTGAAGGGGGTGGGGTTGGGGGGTGGGGGTGTGGGGGTGGGTTGCTTTGGGATATGGGGAGGGGGGGTAGAAGGGAGGGAGAGGATGGGTAGATATTGATAGGTGATGGGAGATAGTTAGATATCAAGGATTTGGGGCAGGTATTTGGTTGAGTTGATAAAGAGATTGGGGGTTCGCTCGTTCTCTTGAGGTTGTGTTGTGGGTTATGTGCTGTGTGTTTGATTCGTTCATGGGCATGGGTATACATACACGTACGTACTCACTTTTAAACACACACACACACACAAACACACACAAACACACACAAACACACACACACACACAAACACACACACACTCACACACACACACACACACACACACACACACACACACACACACACACACACACACACACACATACACACATAAATATACGCTTCCCGCACCCCTCCACTCCCACTCACTCCCCGACACAACTGCAAAATACAGAGAAAACTCCGCATGATATTACAAATCGGAGAATTCTTGTCGCCAGTTCATGATTCACCGTTTTCAGCCGTCATGAGGAATAACAACGTAGAATCGGAGTCATTGGCAGTGCCCGCGGTCATGAGCCATGCACTCGGGCAGGTGCGGTGGAATGCAGTTCACTTTTAGGTGGGGGGTGGGAGGTGGGGAGAGGTAAGGGGAGGGAGATGAGGGAGTGGAAGGGAGGTTAATGGGGGGGGGGGGAAGGGGTTACAGTTCCATTACAGTTCACGAAAGTTAAAGAATTTCCGTCACATCTTAATAAAGCAGTCGTTAGAATCACGTGGCCCCAGATATGCACACGTACGGTACACACACACACACACAAACGCTCGCGCACAGTACCCGGACTTAAGTTTCTCTCGGCTGCCATGGGACTCCACGCCTGCGGTTGCCTGGTCTGGAGGAGGTGGATGGGGAGGTGGGGAAGGGGGAGTTGGAGGAGGATGGGAAAGGGGGTGAGGAGGATGGGGAGGGCAATGGAGTGGGAAAGGCAAGAAGGGAAAGGGAAAGGGAAAAAGGGGAAAGGGGGATAGGAAAGGGAAATAGATAAAGAAAGCAAGAGGGGGAAAATAAGTAGATGGGAAAAGTATAGGGCGAATGGTGAAAGGAAAGGTGGATGAAGGGAAAAAGGGAAGAGGGAAAAAGGGGTGGGAATGAATGAAAGGGAGATGGAAGAGGTAGAAGACTTCGAAGCCATAAGAGGGAGGAAAGGGGGAGGGGGGAGGGTTGGGGTTTAAAAAACAACGCCAGCGGCAAGATCATCTCAGTGCTTTCGTGCAAAGGTCAAGTTGCAAGTGAGATGCTGATGGAGGGGGGAGGGGGAGCGCGGCAGAGGAGAATGGGATGGTGAATGGGATGATGGGTGAATGGGAAGGAAGGGAGAGAGAGAGAGAGAGAGAGAGAGAGAGAGAGAGAGAGAGAGAGAGAGAGAGAGACACACAGAGAGAGAGAGAGAGAGAGAGAGAGAGGGAGAGGGAGAAAGGAGTGATAAATAGAGGGGGAGTTGCAACCGTCGGAGGAAAGGGAAAATGAAGAGCAACATTACTGTTTCAAGCAACTGAGGAGTCGATAGTGTTACTGTTATTGATATCAGCATCATTATTATTAGTGTTACTATTATTATTGATTTCTTGTTGTAGTTACTATCTTTATCATTATTACTAAGGAATTTAAAGTAGAAATAACTATGGATAACCTTCTGAATCTTTCACTGCCTACATCTATTCTTCTCGGTTCTTTCTCCATGCCTCACGCAGACGCACACACGCACACGCACACGCACACACACGCACACGCACACGCACACACACACGCACACCGTATACCTCAGTTAAAAATCATTCCCATCTCTTCCTTATAATATATATATGTATATATATATACATATATACCGGCACACTGCATTATCCGTATCCATCCGCCATAAAGAAAGACGAAAACAAAAGAACGAGAATAAAAGAAAAAATCAGCCTTGTTCAACCGTTTAATGCTTGCCTTCCCTGGAGCGTTGGATGAGGATGCTTAACGTTAATGAGCGGAAATTCTCACCGTTATCGGACGTTCACCCATTCATTATGCGTTGACCGGAATTCGCACGCGTCTGAGATGTTTATGTGTATATACTGTGTCTTTATGTCTCTGTGTCGGTCAGTCTCTTGTTTCTCTGTTTCTATCTATCTGTCTGACTTTCTATCTCTCTTTGCTTCTCACTCTCTTTCTCACTCTCTCTCATTCTGTATGTCCGTCCCTATCTCTCTCGTCCTCTCTTCCTCTCTTCCTCCCTCCCTCCCTTCCTCCCTTCCTCCCTTCCTTCCTCCCTCCCTCCCTCCCTCCCTTTCTTTCTCCCTCCCTCTCTTTCTCCCTTTCTCATATATGTGTTTTTACGTCCGTGTAAGAGTGCACACAGTATGTATGTCTGTGTTCAGTAGGATGTATACATGTATGTACATACACGTGTAACTGTTTATATATATTACATGACAGCACAAGCCCTCAAAATTCACCCCATCATTTCAGGTTCGCCTCGTGCTCCAGAGAAGCTGTAGAGCAGAACCAGGCAACGGCGGTAAGTAATGAGTGAATCTGTGCATGACACTGCCGAACGTAATCTGAGTGCATTTTGAGGCTGAAGGTGACAGAAGCAGTTCATGGGTTATGTCATAGACGCGAGACACGTAAGAGGTGAAGATGTGGCAAATTAGAGGAGGAGAAAGAGGAGGAGGAGGAGGAGGAGGAGGAGGAAGAGGAGGAGGAGGAGGAGGAGGAAGAGGAGGAGGAGGAGAAAGAGGAGGAGGAGGAAGAAGAAGAGGAGGAGGAGGAAGAGGAGGAGGAAGAGGAGGAGGAAGAGGAGGAGGAAGAGGAGGAGGAAGAGGAGGAGGAAGAGGAGGAGGAAGAGGAGGAAGAGGAGGAGGAGGAGGAGGAGGAGGAGGAGGAGGAGGAGAAGAAGAAGAAGAAGAAGAAGAAGAAGATGAAGAAGAAGAAGAAGAAGAAGAAGAAGAAGAAGAAGGAGAAGGAGGAGTAGTAGTAGTAGGTGGTGGAGGAAGAGACGGAAAAAAGAGAAGAATGTTAGGATGAAGAAGTGAGAATGAAATGACACTATTATCATTATGTCTAATATTATAGAATAGATGAGGGTAACGAACAATTTTACTACTATTATCCAAACTATTGTTACTATTTGTATTCTTGAAAATGATGGACTAGGGATGAAATTACACCAGCAATGAAAGTGATGTTGACAGGAATAATAGTAATATTGATAATATTAATGATTATATTAGCAATGATATTCCTTCTCCTACTACTAGTAACGATTATGCTAATGATATGTAAATAACAATAACAACAATGCTAATATCAGTAATAGGAATGATGATAACAATAACGATGGTGATAATAATAGCAATGATAATGATAATAATACAAGAACAATAATAATGATAGTAAGACGCGAAGGACAATAATGATTATAACAACACGAGCGAAAATAGTAATATTGATAATATCAACAAAATTGATGTATCACTTATAATAATACCACAAATATCATAAGCATAGCGTTGATTATGATATAGTTAAAGTTGCTTATACGAAAATTTCAAGAAAAAATTGAAGAAACCGATAAGAAAGAATATAGAAAAAAGAAATAAGAAAAACGACTCTTTTTTCTGGATCATTGTTGTTTGACTACAAAAGAAAAAGAAAAAAAAAGAAAAAAAAAAGTATCCAGTCACCATAATGTACCAGCTGTTATGTTGCTTCTAGAGAGGTCAGTAACTTTAAGAAGCATGACAAAAATAAACCTGCCGTAAAGGTGCAAAGGTTATAGACAGGTTAATAAAATTCGACTCTCTGCTGAATCTAAGTTCCATCTTATTCAGTTATTTCACATCTCCATTTTCTTTTTCTTTCGTTTTCTTTTTCTTTCTTCATATTGGATTGTACCAGCGGAAGCATGTGTATGTGTATACAGCTACGCACACGGTTGAAAACAAACAAACAAATGAAAGTGAACGCAGCTGTAAAATTGTGTACATATCAGTGTTTGAACGAATGAACAGGATTCATTACTGTTGAACATTTTCCCCGTTAAACTAGACTGAGTATATACTATTGTATGCTCTGTTTTGTATACCTCTTCAGCACGAGACAGAGTTAAACAACTAATTTAAATGTTTTTTTTTTATGCATAAATTGACAGAAATGCACTTAGGACACTTTTAATCACCGTTCAGTAAGTTATTTAATGTCTCCGCATTCAATTCCGAGCCAGATATAGTGAGTGCAGAAAAATCTTTCCCTTTTCTTACTGAACGATAGTGACAAAACGACAATTATTACTTAAAATAATGGTAATCATAATGATAGTAATAGTATTGATTACGATGAGGGCAATGATGATGATAATAAAGATAATGTTGGTAATAATAAGGATATGGTAATGATAATGGCGACGATAATGAAATGATGGTGATAATAGCAACAATGATTATTATGATTATAATGCTGACCGTAATAATGAAGATATTAATGACAATGATGGTGATGATAATAACGATGACGATAATAATAATGATACTGATGATAAAGAAAACAATGACAATGATAATAAAAAGCAGATTTTATTTTATTGCCACGACTTTGCAACTCCACCAGTAACACTGATACCAAAACCATACACCTCATGCCTTCACTCAACCTTCCTCCTCCTCCTCCTCCTCTTCCTCTCACGCCTCATCTTCCTTCGGCCATTCCGTTAGCCCGATTTTCCGCCCCGACAGCAGCGTGCCCGAGGTTTCCGGAGGGGGGGGGGGGGTAGAGACAAGGCGCACGTGCGAACTGCCGCTCCTGCGCTGCCTCCTGCCGCCGCTGCTGTTGCTGTTACGACCTTCTCCGGCAGGTCGTCCTGTTTTTGCTGCTGCAGTTTCGCGTGCAGGCTAGGCGTTGCACATCCCCTCCTTGGCTTCTCTTTGCCCTCTTGTCTTCTCTCTTCTCTGCCTTGTCTTTTCTCGTCTCTGCCTTGTCTTCTCTCTTCTCTGCCTTGTCTTCTCTCTTCTCTGCCTTCTCTTTCTTCTTTCTTCTGTGCCTTGCGTTTGGTGTTTCATGTTCGAGTGTTTTCATATTTGCTCTTGCTTTTCTGTTGTTATGCTCTGTGACTTGATTTTCTCCCTTTTTTTACTCCCTCTTTCTGATTTATTTCATTGTATCTTTCTCTACCTGTCTGCCTGTCCGTCTCTGTAACTTTGTTTTTGTCTTAATGAAATGGTCAAAGTGAGAGTCTCTCTCTCTTTTTTTTTCTCTCTCTCTCTCTCCCTCTCTGTTTTCCACTCTCTCCATCAATTCTTTCACCCTTTCGACACTACGAGTCAGAAGAACAAGATCTCAGCAATGAGAGATCACACACACACACACTCACGCACGCACGCAGGCACTCACTCACTCACCCCGCCCCCCTCCCTACCCACACTCCCGCACGCACTCCCACACAGGACTGGAAAGAAGGCGCGCAGTAGGATCAGGCAAGGAGCGGAGGACCTTGGCCAGGATCTTGAGCTGCACGACCGTAGGACTCAGACATTCCTTGCCTCGCCTTCTGCTGATCAGTCTTCCTTCAAGTGTCCTGGTTTTGGTCCTTTTTTTTCTTATTCTTGTTCGTGTTTCTTTTTCTGGTTCTGGTTCTTGTTCTTATACTTGTTCTTATATTTTTCATATTTTATTATTTCGTATTGTTGTTCTCGAAGAAGAAGAAGAAGAAGAAGAAGAAGAAGAAGAAGAAGAAGAAGAAGAAGAAGAAGAAGAAGAAGAAAAGAAGAAGAAGAAGAAGAAGAAGAAGAAGAAGAAGAAGAAGAAGAAGAAGAAGAAGAAGAAGAAGAAGAAGAAGAAGAAGAAGAAGAAGAAGAAGAAGAAGAAGAAGAAGAAGAAGAAGAAGAAGAAGAAGAAGAAGAAGAAGAAGAAGAAGAAGAAGAAGAAGAAGAAGAAGAAGAAGAAGAAGAAGAAGAAGAAGAAGAAGAAGAAGAAGAAGAAGAAGAAGAAGAAGAAGAAGAAGAAGAAGAAGAAGAAGAAGAAGAAGAAGAAGAAGAAGAAGAAGAAGAAGAAGAAGAAGAAGAAGAAGAAGAAGAAGAAGAAGAAGAAGAAGAAGAAGAAGAAGAAGAAGAAGAAGAAGAAGAAGAAGAAGAAGAAGAAGAAGAAGAAGAAGAAGAAGAAGAAGAAGAAGAAGAAGAAGAAGAAGAAGAAGAAGAAGAAGAAGAAGAAGAAGAAGAAGAAGAAGAAGAAGAAGAAGAAGAAGAAGAAGAAGAAGAAGAAGAAGAAGAAGAAGAAGAAGAAGAAGAAGAAGAAGAAGAAGAAGAAGAAGAAGAAGAAGAAGAAGAAGAAGAAGAAGAAGAAGAAGAAGAAGAAGAAGAAGAAGAAGAAGAAGAAGAAGAAGAAGAAGAAGAAGAAGAAGAAGAAGAAGAAGAAGAAGAAGAAGAAGAAGAAGAAGAAGAAGAAGAAGAAGAAGAAGAAGAAGAAGAAGAAGAAGAAGAAGAAGAAGAAGAAGAAGAAGAAGAAGAAGAAGAAGAAGAAGAAGAAGAAGAAGAAGAAGAAGAAGAAGAAGAAGAAGAAGAAGAAGAAGAAGAAGAAGAAGAAGAAGAAGAAGAAGAAGAAGAAGAAGAAGAAGAAGAAGAAGAAGAAGAAGAAGAAGAAGAAGAAGAAGAAGAAGAAGAAGAAGAAGAAGAAGAAGAAGAAGAAGAAGAAGAAGAAGAAGAAGAAGAAGAAGAAGAAGAAGAAGAAGAAGAAGAAGAAGAAGAAGAAGAAGAAGAAGAAGAAGAAGAAGAAGAAGAAGAAGAAGAAGAAGAAGAAGAAGAAGAAGAAGAAGAAGAAGAAGAAGAAGAAGAAGAAGAAGAAGAAGAAGAAGAAGAAGAAGAAGAAGAAGAAGAAGAAGAAGAAGAAGAAGAAGAAGAAGAAGAAGAAGAAGAAGAAGAAGAAGAAGAAGAAGAAGAAGAAGAAGAAGAAGAAGAAGAAGAAGAAGAAGAAGAAGAAGAAGAAGAAGAAGAAGAAGAAGAAGAAGAAGAAGAAGAAGAAGAAGAAGAAGAAGAAGAAGAAGAAGAAGAAGAAGAAGAAGAAGAAGAAGAAGAAGAAGAAGAAGAAGAAGAAGAAGAAGAAGAAGAAGAAGAAGAAGAAGAAGAAGAAGAAGAAGAAGAAGAAGAAGAAGAAGAAGAAGAAGAAGAAGAAGAAGAAGAAGAAGAAGAAGAAGAAGAATATTGTGTTCTCAACTCTATTTTTCTTATTCTTATTTTTCTTATTCGTGTTCTTCTTATTCTCAATCTGATTCTCGGTTTTATTCTTGATGTTGTTTTCACCGTTGTTGTTGTAATCGTCAAGCAAATTCTAATATCGAAAGCAACAATGACAGTGAAAATTACGATGGGGTATGAGCGAGGGAAGATTGGGAGATAGGGTGAGGAGAGGGTTGCGTGAGTGGTTACAGAAGGTGCATGGAGTGTGTGTGTATGTGTCAGCGAGTAAGACAGACAGAGAGAGAGAAAGAGAAAGAGAAAGAGAAAGAGAAAGAGAAAGAGAAAGAGAAAG